TAGATAGATAGATAGATAGATAGATAGATAGATAGATAGATAGATAGATAGATATAGATTGATTGATTAAATTTATATGCTGCCCTTCTCATTGTCACACAACTCTGGGTGGCTTACAATCCGAATAAAATCATATTACCAAAGATGAAAACAGTAAAACAGTAACTATAACATTAATACAAAATTAATGAAGAAACAGCTAAGACAGCAGGGGGATACAATGGAGTGGAGGTAGAGTTATGTCTTTAATCCAATAACCGCCCCCAGGGGTGACACAGCCTCATTGGGGCCCCAGGCCAATTGGCATAGCCACATTTTAAGGCTCATTTTGCAGTAACACTGTGGAACACACTGCTCTGATTCACATAGCATTAGCACTAAGATTTATACACCACTTTATAGTGCTTTACAGCACTCTCTAAGCTGTTTACAGAGTCAGCCTCTTGCACTCAAACAATCTGGGTCCTCATTTTACCCACCTCGGAAGGCTGAGTCAATCTTGAGCCTGGTGAGATTCGAACTGCCAAATATCAGGCAGCCAGCAGTCAGCAGAAGTAGCCTGCAGTGCTGCACTCTAAGCACTGCACCACCGTGGCTCATAAGCCATGGTTTGATGAATATATCACAATTAGCTACATTCATCTATCATAGATAGCTTGGATCAAAAGCATGGATTACAAACGCAGCTGATTCTCACGGTACAAGAAGCGCTGACAATCCTGAGTCGCACATTGTCCAAACTTGGCTTGAAGGCTGGGCCTAAAAGCCAATTCTGCAGGCGCCAATTACACCTGGTCTCGTAGCTTTCCTGAAAGGCAAAATGAGGCCCATTCCAGCCACCCTGCCCCCATCCATTGCAGCCCCTTGCTCAACGTACGGGTTGGACCGCTTCTTGGCTTCATCAGCATATGCCAGGTGGCGGCACTCCTTCACGTGGATAAAAAAGGCCTGCGTTTTTTCTTCGTAACTCAAGGAGAAAGCAATCTCTCCCGTGACGCTGATGTTGCCAAAGTCACCGGCCCCGCTGTAAATGCTGACCATGCTTCCCAGGGTGCTCTAAGAAAATCAGGAGAGGGGAAAAATCGGGTTTGGGGCAGGGCGAACCAAAAGTTTATAGCTATAGTTAACACTCCCTCCACCATTTTTACCCACAGCCTCATCGATCAGCAGTTCGCATCCGTGTCAACTCATAAAATATTTCTAGGGTCTTTTTAGAGTTGCCAACAGAAAGGGAAGGGGGAGCAGTGCGGCAGCTTGCAAACCGAAACTGCTTTCCATAAATGTTTTCAAAGATAGTAACTAGGTGACTGAAGTTTCTGCCGCACAAAATTCTAACTGGAGAGCGTGATTGATGACTCTTGGCTATGGATGTGTCCCATTGGAGAATATGAATATGAATACACCCAGGGGGTGGGGGAAAATCTAGGTCAAAGGTGACAATGAATTATGTGTCTCAGAGTTGGTTACACCCAGGTAGTACCGGACATGTTAACTCCCAATAAATCCTTTTTAAGTTTTAGAAGTTTGGCTCTAGACTCATGATTGAATTGGGGGTAACTGCCAGAATCCTGACACCCTGCCTTGGTTCCCATCTCTGCCATTTTAAATCCACCCTTTCTTGGAGCAAAGAAACCATCTTCCAACGCAGAAGCCAAAAAGGCAATCGGGGCCCACCCAAAATTGCAGGATTGAAACTCTCATCAACCCCAACCAGTAGTCAGAGATAAGATGGAATTGGACTAAGACAATCAGGGTTTCCAGAAATGCGGTGTGGTGGCCTCTAGGTGGAGCTCTTGCCTCACAATCAGGAGGCTGTGAGTTCAATCCTGGGTAGAGGCAGAAATTTCTCTCTCTGGGCACACTGAGAATATGTCTGCTGAACACAACTCCGCACTGGTGACAGGAAGGGCATCTGGCCATTAAAACCCTCTTGCTAGCTCCATTCAGACTCCACCCCGCAAGGGATTATGGGGGTCCTTAAATTAAGATGATGATGACCGGGGTTTCCCAAACTTGGCAACATTAAGATGCAGGGACTTCAACTCCCAGAATTCCCCAGCCAACCATGCTGGCTGGGGAATTCTGGGAGCTGAAAGTGTTGCCTCTTAACATTGCGAAGATTGGGAAAACCTGAGCTAGAGAATCATTAGTAGCTCACTCCTGACCTAGTTCACCAACATGGGTTTCCTCCACTGAACTAAGCAGGAATTCAGGAGCGCAAAGTTGCTCTCCTCTCTAGAGTCCATGACGCAAATTATTAGTAGAGAAACTCACCAAAGATGTACCACTGCGCACGCTATTTCGGCCCGCCCTTCTCCGATGAATTTCGACTAAGCTATCTATGTCTTCTTCCTCCTCCTCCTAGGAAAAGACGTATAGGTATCTCTGCAATAGCTGGAGGACCTCTGAGCATGCTGTGACTTTCCTCCCAAGAACAAGCCTCGTGGACCCAGCAAAAATCCAAGGCTACTGTCCCCACAAGATGTGTGGCTTGCATCTCACACCAAACCATGGTTCACAAACAACAAAGGCTGCCTTCACAGATTTTGTTACGTCTTCATACGGCTTAATTTTGTTATTCAGTTACTCGCCTTTGCAGCTTAGCATTAGGTATGGCTAGGCCGCGATGCCTTATTTAGTCACTGGAAGATTTTTAAGAAGCTAATAGTTGAGTAAACACGGTCACTGCTGAGTTCTTTCATGGGATTAAGCCATGGTTTGTTCTAATTATAAATGGTTAGGCTCTAAATCAGACTTCCTTCGTTTCCTTTCAGAGGTAGGGACTTCAACTCCCAGACTTCCCTGACAAGAATTCCTCGATCAACGTGGCCCTTGTTAACAATTCTAGAACTTAAACTCCCACACAACCAGAGAAAACAAATTCAAAGACCCTTTCCATACATTCTGACTTCCCAGCAAAAATGACCAGATGCTCTATCTAAGCCAAGGGGTCTTCCAAATTGACCGCTTTTAAGACTTGTGGACTTCAACTCCCAGAATTCCTCCTCCAGTCATGTTAGCTCAGGAATTCTGGGAGTTGAAGTCCACAAGTCTTAAACTTGCCAAGTTTGAAGACCCTCGCTCTAAGCCAACAAACCACATGGAGGCTTCTTACAGTGTGTGAATGTAGCCCAGTAGCGAGGGCACATTTTCCTCAGGAATCTCCTCACAACTTTGAAATGCCTTCTCTTTCCAAACTCACCGCTTCGACATTGAGGCCTGGGACTGACTTGCTTCTGTCCCCCAGAACTCCACTTTCACCGACTGCATCTTCTGGTCGGAGATCAATCACAGACTTCGTGTATTCTATAGAAAATAAGCTAAGATATCAGAGAAACCCTTCATTTTAGCTTCACTGAGCTAGGAAGGACATATGCTCTCTTATTTATATTCATGGTACGCCACCCTTTCCGTACATCTTCTAGGAAAACGTTGCTCACTCATCTGCCTTTCCAGAAGATAGTTAAGAAACGAAGCTCCGACCCATCCTAACAATTTGTTTTAGGTCCTAAATATACTCTTGGTTGATTTACATGTAAAATATCTCTGTATTTTTTTCAATTTATTGAGACCAGTGCAAATATAACTAGTGAAAAACATATGTGATATTAAGATGAACTCACTAATAGGTATGTTGGCGCCATTTTTGTGAGTCGATTACAAAAACATTGAGAAGCCACACTGGGGAAAATTAACCCAGAGAACTGTTGCTAATTGTTGACTATTTACTAGGTTTTATAGAATTCAAGACAAGTATTTTCTCCACCTCTATTTCTCCACAACAATTTGAGAGAGACCATAAACTGGGCTAACAGAGAGGGATTGGCTTCTCGGCTCTCACCACTATATGGCATTGGTTATGGACTGATGATGCAATATAGATTGGTTAGCCTTTCCTCCAAAGAGTATTTGATGGCTTTCTTCAGTTCCCCAACCTAATCCCCATCAACTACTTTAATGGCTAAGAAAACTGAGAGTTGTGGGTCCAATACCCACACCTGTTGATCATCAAGTTGGAGAAAGCTGGTTTACACAGGTCCTCCCCCCTCCCCCCCCCCATCCAAATGTTCACTCCAAAACCCTGGAAGGTAGGACTGGATGTGAAAAAGCAACTGACCTGAAACCCACAATGAAAACTGATGGCTGGGTAAGGAGCCGAACACAGACGTTGGCAGTCTAAAAGCCCAACTCTTTAGCCCGCCCAACAGTCCTTTCTATCTTACCTGACGGCCTTTGGATTCTCCTTGGATTTTTTTTGAACAAGACTTCGTTTTCATCTGCTGAAACCGCAGTCCCCCAAAGTGCTTCCTAGGGAATAAACCAACTCGTGTCAGGTTCACATCAACAGGAAGACTCGCTGAGTTCAAAGGGCTGAAGTGCCTAAGAATCTGATTGATCCTCAAAGCTAAATTGGTGCTCATTAAGGGTCAAAGGAATTCGTGGGGGGAGAGGGGGCTGGACTGAGGTCTCTTGTGGGAACCCAATGACTCCAAACTGAGAACGTGTTTAACTCCGCCTTTCAATCAGCAAGCTGCTCTTCTCCTACAATTTGACGTGATAGGAGAATAAATGGGGTCATTACTATTACATATCGCAAATTGAAATGCAAAATGAATCTGTTGCACAGAGACACATTCAACTTTTAACAAGCGTAGCTGCAGTCTCCTGATCCCAATTGCTCTTATTGTACTCAAAAGTATGTGTCAAGCAACATATTATTCTAATATTCAGATATAGCATTTTGGAAGAAGAGATTTCTGACTTCTCCAAAACACATCCACACACTCTCTCTCTCTCTCTCTCCACAGAAGACCACCAGAATTGCTCTTCAGGCATCAGTAAACATACACTATCTGAATCGGAGTGGGGATTCTCCTTAAAGCCAGCAGGAAGGGTTAGGCTGGAGACCTTGGACGCCGGTGGGCTGAGAGTGTTCGCCTTCTCTTGTCGAGGGCTGCAAAGATAACAAAAAAACAAAGATCACCAGATGAAATGATCCAACCAAGTCCCTAGCTTCCTAGGGGGACCGGATGTTTCCAGCAGAACATCAGGTTACTACCCTCATTCTATCTTGGACAAGAAGAAATCTCCTTTTGTTTGCTTACCATTATTTGTCTCCTGCTTCCCCAACATAATATGATCCCAAGACATTCATTAGAAGCAATACCAGACATGAAGATGCAAGACCAAAAAGTTCACAACACAACAGGGAAGCAACAGAACTTTAAAAAGTAACTACTTGAGGACATACAGAGAAGAAAATCACTAGCTCTTTCTTTTTCAGCTAACAAAGGAGGTCTAGATTTGCTTAAATTTGCGTAATTAAATCATCATGTAGTTAAAGCATGATGCATTTAATTTAGTCACATATGGCTATTATTTGCAGCACACACTAATCAATGTTTTATTTGTGGTTGATCTCATGGACAGTCCGGTAAACTCATCCATCGTGTTCAATACTAAATCATGGCTTCCAAACTCATTCGATGGGATCAAATAATATTTTAGGTCTTCAGGATATGCAAATTTTCAAGACGCTAAGCCACAAGCAAATCATACAAAGGTTTAATGTAGAATCCAACTACAGTGCAATTATCCTCATACAAAGCTATCACTTACGACAAGGGTCTTCAAACTTGATAGCTTTGAGGTGGCATTCAGCAGGTTCTGACCAATTCTGGAGAACTGGTAGCAGAAATTTTGAGTAGTTCAGAGAACCGGCCAATCCCACCTCTGACTGGAGATTTTGCAGTATCCTTCCTCTGCCATGCCCACCAAGCCACGCCCACAGAACCGATAGTAAAAAAAAAATTGAATCCCACCACTGTTTAAGACTTTTGGACTTCAACTCCCAGGATTCCTCCACCAGTCATGTTAGCTCAGGAATTCTGGAAGTTGAAGTCCACAAGTCTTAAACTTTGAAGACCCTTGACTTACAGAATAAAGCACGAAGTTACAGGTTTACACAATATCTCAATCGACAAGCCCAGATTGCAAACCGCATTGGCTGAAACCACCGGTAATCGCACTAGTTTATCTTAGTGGTTGGTATGAACACAGGTCTACCTATGTCAGGAGACAATTATGAGTACAATGACTGTCTGTCTGCCCCACGCCCTTGCTCATCAAATCTTCCTTGTACCCCTCAAAAGATTTAACTGACAAGATCTCGGAGGTCTTTCTGACCTAGATCGAGTGGAGGTGGCACCAGAGGCTGGGCGCAAGCCATCCAAACTCATATTCTCAGTTGATTCTGTGTCACTTTTTGGATCCCGTAGCTCAGAGGAATCAGAGATCAAGCTGGAAGAGAACAACCTAGTTAGATCAGCAGCAAAAAAAAAGGAATCCAGGTCCTCATGAACTAAGTCCACAAACTCTGTGCAACTTTATCAGTCAGGGAGCGGAGAACCTATGTTGCTGAGCTACCCAACTCAGATCTCTTCCTATTAGATGAGATGGCTGGAAGCGGTCTTTTAACCACATCTGGAGAGAACTAGGTTGGAGATGGCTGACTGGTAAACTCCTTCATTTTGTTCTGACATCACAAATTTGATGAAGTACAAGAATAGCCATCTACTTGTGGTCTTCCCCATTGTCCGTAGGGGGCTGGACTAGAAGACCTCCAAGGTCCCTTCCAACTTCATTATTCTGGAGAAATATTTCTACAATGTGATTTTCCAGCTAGCACTTATTATGCAATCCATTCCTTTTCTATTCGTCAAACAGAACCAAGTTGATAGACTTGGACGAATGTCCAAACTTTTTGCTGTGGGTCCCCCAATTCCATCCATATAACTCTTTATATTCATTAAATCTTGACAATTAGAGATGTGGGTTTTCTGAAAAACTATCAATCAAAAAAGCACGATTCAGATTCCCACCATTACTCCTGCTTCTGAAGATACTTTTCTGCAGCCACAGTTTATGTTGAGGTATTGATCTAAGAGCTGACCAGTCAATGTAAGTCTGATACAATATAAGACTGATGCAGTAAGAATGAATCAGCATAGCATGGATATTGCCCTTTTAAGATGAAGAATGGGTCCACAAAGTTTTACCTCTTTAAGAGGTGTCTATATAAAGGCAGTCATTAAGAGGGCGTGTTTTTCTCTCCTTGTGTCCTGTATCCATTGCAGAGTTCTCCACGTAGAGTTAAGATTGACTGCTTGTAAGGTATTTGCCTACCATGTATATTTCTGTATATGTCTTGTATATAAACCACTGTTAAATGTTTAAGCCTCTGTGTGCTGTGTTTTGCTCCTGGGTTGTCTCACAATAGCAGTCACGCTGCAAACGCTCTGACAGCTTAGCTCTATGAATAACTAGCAGATGGGCTGGCAGTGGCACAGACCTGCTGAAATCTTTATTTCATGCGTTTGGAGCATGGGTGCAAGAAACAGTGGATCTCACTGCAGCCCTGAGGCAGGGAGGAAGAATCACCTGTGCTCCTTGCGTTGCTGCTGGGGACTTTTCGAGGGCACTTCAGAACTACTTTTGGGATCCTTGCGTTGAGCTTTCTGAAGAAGCACTTGACTTGTTGTCTCTCTTTTGTTAGCTAAATGACCAGAGGAAAAGAAGTGTCAACATACAGCACAGACACCACACCAAATAAGTCCTTATTTAAATACTAGCTAGATACCCGTGCTTTGCTATGAAACTATGTGGTTGGGCTTAGTTTGGGGGGAGGAAAATAAGAGGAAAAAAATTCTGCCTCTGCCTACCAGTATCCATTAGTGTTCATCTGTGTCCTATCAATGTGTGAGAGTTGAGGGCTGTTTGGAAATTGAAACAATATTTGCTGTGTGAGCAAGGAGACAGCAAAGAGCCTGGGTGTGGCTTAGCTCAACTGTTCTGTACTAAATCTGGTTGCTGCTGTGAAACTGAAACTCCTCTCCTCTGCTTGTGTTTTGCATTTGGAGCAGATTTCTTTTCAGGTGGGGTGGGGGAGTAAAACGCCTTAGCATCAGAGCTTGTTAATAATAATAATATAGGAAATACTAATGCTCTGATGATCATTTCGAAAAATGTCTGGATTCCGGCTGGGAAATTTGGGGAGTTGAAGTCCACGTAGCTTAAAAGTTGCCAATGGTTGGGAAACCCTGGTCTAGACAGTAAATGCTACAAGACCAGGTTGCCTTCAGATGGAATCCAGTTGACAACATCCTGATCTCTATTTGGAAAATATCTCAGGGGCATTGAAGGAATGGGCAGGGAGAAATTATAACTACTTAGCCTTGGAAATGACAGAACGTTTGTTCTAATTAAAAACCAGAGGCGGAAGCTGCCTTGCGACAAAGACGCCCGACCCTGTGGCTTGCGCCGAAGAGACATCCGGATGATGTCACTGCCCAGACGAGGAGTAAAGCGATGCATCCTTTGGTCATAGAACCAGTCTCCAGTGGCTTTCTTCAGCTCCCTGCAGGTGGGAAAGCAGGGAAGAGAACAAGCAATCACTTCTGAGAACATGAATCTGCACCCCCATCCCAAAGTCCATTGGGTTACAAGGTCCCTTCCAACTCTGATTATCTGTTTATCTGTTAAGTACGACTGCGCATTAGGTGAAATGAACCATGCTGGCTGGGGAATTCTGGGAGTTGGAGTCCACACATCTTAACATGGGCCATGACTGGATAGTCCCAGTTGAGTACAGAATCCCAAGGTATATGCAACCTGTTGCGGCCTCTTGGCCGCCAGCCCCTCCAACAGCAAATCAGAGGAGGAGAAGGTATGGGAGTCACAGGGTCAGCAGGAGGAGAAGGTATGGGAGTCACAGGGTCAGCATTAGAGCAACTTGAGAGCTCCAAGGGAGAAGAGGGAATGGAGCTGTCAGAGAGAGAGAGAGAGAGAGAAACAGAGGCAGAGCTTGGGCTGTCCATCTTATGTAGGTGCTAATCACCTGAGAACTCTTAGCCAAGCTCCATGGGAAGGCATCTTCCAGAGAAGTGGACTTCATCTCCCAGACTTCCAAAGCCAACATGGCCACAACTGAACATTCTGGGAATTGAAGTCCACTCCTCTGAAATTTGCCAATGCTTATTTAGCCCAGAGCCTCAAGGTGATTAAGTGCTGCCATATCCCTCACACTGGGATCCGGTCTTGGAGCACATCTTCTTCCCTTGAGTCTTGTCTTCTTGTGGTGACCTGTCAGTCACTGGCCCCTCCAGAGAGAGAGAGAGAAGCCCTCAGATGGAAAGTCAACAGCTTCCAGGTCTGGAAGGGGCTGATGAGGCAGAAGAGGAACAGCTGGGTCCAGTGCCAGACACACGGAAGTTCGGAAGGCAGAGAGGAGAGGAGAGCAGTGGAAATCTATGGGCCGGTCCCTGGGACGGAAAAGCACCGCTGCTAGCGAGACCCCACCCTAGCTCTGGGGATAAAAGGCAGGGGGTGGAGTTGAATAAGACTTCTTAGCTTGCAGTGAGAGAGAAACTTTTTGCCATGGCTGCTGGCGCGCCTAATAAATAAATCATTGTTTCAACTACAGAAGTTTTGTCCTGGGGAGTTGGGTCAAGAACACAACCCCAGTCGCAACGTGCAAAGCAGGGGAGCAGACTTACGCCTCCTTGGCACAAACTTTGCAGCGCCAACAGCTGTCAGCGTCGTAGGAGCGGCAGTCGCGACAAACCAGGTGATTGCAATCCCGGCAGATGTTGGCTTTGGGGTTGACCCGGCCCAGGCTCTGCTGGCAACGAGCGCAGGTCCGCTCGCTGTACCGCTGGCTGCCCCTCTTGGCCCCTTTCCTCCGGATCTCTAGCAGCTCATTCTTCAGACGCCTGTTGGGAGGAAGGGCAGAAAGGGAAAAGAAGAGAGAAAAGGGTTGACCTCCCCATGGGCACCAGGTGTGGCTCCTCCTATGGCTCATCTAAGTTGAGACCCAGACGTTGGTTGATTCAGCTTGAGTAGAAGGAAGAGCCTCAAAGATTGCATAGGGCTTGGAAGAAGATGATAACCAGGTTGTCAAGCCCCTGTCAGAATCTGAATCTGAGGAGGAAGACGAACAGCTGACAGAGACTGGGAGTGTGATTCTGTTTGCTGTGGAAGAAACTGGGGAAGGGCAAAGTATAGCTGGGCAGAGCAGGGCAGAGGTAGAACAAGAGAGACAGAGTTCAGAGGAAGACCCAGGCCCACCCTCTCTTCATCCTAGGACACGGAGGGAGAAACGGAGAAGAGAGCAACATGGATTGCATGGCTTAATGGGGGAGGAAAGGGCCCTGATTCCCTTCATTAGCCACATCTGGGAATGAAAGTTTAAAAGAGATGCAAGCTGAGTGCAGCAACTGCTGGGAACAAACATGAGTTTATCTTGTGTTGATTTTGCTTATCTGTGTTCCTGGCGTCTTCCCAACCATGTTGATTTATTGCCATGACTTCACATCTGGAATTCTTGCTCCTGCCCTGCCTGACTAATTACTTCATCTTGCCTTGATTGGACTTATAGTTACAGTTTTTGTTGATCATGTTTTGGACTTGATTTTCTGCCAAAGGCTGTTCTTGAGAGAGTTGTTCTCCAGCCAGAAGGTAACCAAGACATTGGGGGCAAAGTTGGAGCTGATAAAGGGACTCCTACTGATTATCTGACTGTGTTGCCTTTGTGCCACGCCCTTTGGGTCATCACACAGGTACTTGGACTGGACCACTTGGCTTACCAGAGTCAAGATGTTCTGAAGAACAAAAGTAGGACAGATTTTCTACAGGAGAAGTTCCTGCCCCCAAGGACCATCTGCTTCCCTCTCAATGTCCTCAACTGGGGACGGCAACACACTCAGGGGGTCTCTTTCCCCCCCTTATCAACATTGGGTGATGATCCCATGTGAGCCAACTCCTCACCTAATTCTCCTCTCTTCCACTTTCCGCAGTTCCTCATCTCGCTGGAGAACCCGAATGATGAAGTCCCTCTCCACCTCCGAGAGAAATGACAAGTCTATCGCCTCCATCGTCAATCACTGGAAATCCACTCCTTTCTCTAGAAAATATGTACATTTAAAAACGTATGAATATTACCAAGAAAAAAGCACACCGTCTTTGTTGATTAGAAGCATATGTTTATATGTTTATTTATTATGTATTTGTATATATAGATTTTATCTACAATGTAAGGTTGTATTTGATGTATTGTACAGTGTTTTTCTTTTTTAATCTCTAATAAAGTTTTCTATTAAAAAAACGTATGAATAGCAATAGCACTTAGACTTATATACTGCTTCATAGCACTTTGCAATCTTCTCTAAGCGGTTTACAGAGTCAGCATATTGCCCCCAACAATCTGGGTCCTCATTTTATATTGGATGGATCGAAGGCTGAGTGGTCCTTGAGCTGGGATGGATGAGGAGAGGAGGGGAAGGAAGGAAGATAGCCATAGCACTTAAGACTTATATACCGCTTTATAGTGCTTTATACTCCTCTGTAAGTGGTTAACAGAATCAGCCTATTGCTCCCAACAGTCTGGGTCCTCATTTTACCGACCTCGAAGGATGGAAGGCTGAGTCAACTTTGAGCTGATGGGACTCAAACTGCTGGCAGTTGGCAGAGTTCACTTCCAATACTGCATTTAGCACTGGGAAGGAAGGAAGGAAGGAAGGAAGGAAGGAAGGAAGGAAGGAAGGA